GCAACGGATCCGTCTCTAAAATGGTCTGAGCGTGTGTGTCCGTCGATGAACTCGGCGCTGTATTTAGGAACTTCCCCATCATAAATATGGTCAATAAACCAATTAAAGTCAACGTAATGTATGAGTACAACTTCCTTTGAACATCTTCTTTATTTTTTAGGCAGACCAAATATTTCACAATATGAATGAATGAATGAATTAATTAATTAATTTTTTATTGAGTATTTATACAAATAATAACAATCAACAAAAGTATCCAAGCTGAATTGAAAAATATTTACGGCTTGGTTCTTGAAACCGACAGCCGGAGGCCTTGGCAAAACAAGTATTATTGATACAATAACATAAACTAAAACTTAATATGGTAATGTTAATAAATACAATTTAAATGCTAATAAATACAGAAACAAAATATATTAAATCTTAATATCACAATTGTAAATACAAAATAAAATTTTAATATATAAATACATACAAATTTTTAATATAGATATTTTAATATGGTAAGATAAATAATTTTTTCGGCTTTAACATTGTGCATCAATTAATCAATTAATAATTCTTGGCATTAGGCATATCTGTATTGCCAGGCTGCTTTACAACAATATGATGGGACCAATTTATTCCGTTCAAATGTGCAATTATTTGACAATCCCCGAATGTCAGGCTTTTCCAAAATATCATCTGCTAAGTTCCGCCAGAACAGGACATACACCAAGGGAATGCACGATATTTTCCTTCATATTTCATTCACACTATTTCATTCATATTACATAATGAACATAATTTATTATTTGTTTCGTAACATACCTTAAAGTTTAACTTTATCAATTCTCTTCTGGCCTTTAATATCCATTTTATTATTGTTTCATTGTATTTCTTATTGAAATAGGCGTTTCCTGATATATCATGATTCAAGTCTTTGTATATATTAGTTTTCTTTGAATTTTTTGCTAGCGTTTCGAACCTATTTTCTAATTCTATTGTCAATTTATCTTTTACTTTCCGACAAGGCACATTCCATTTATTTGTGCTATTATAATCAAATCTGGTATTGATTTGTTAAAAGTTTTACCTCTTCATATCAGCCTATTTCTTTTTTAATTATTTCTTTTGCAATTATTTGAATATTTCACAATATAATAATTCACTAATCTCTTATTAGAGATTAACGGACAAACAAAGTACACAAACTATCTTCTAATTTCTAGAAGGAAGAATTTTTATTATTTTATTTTTTATTTTAAAACCATGAAAGTTTAAAAAAATAAATAAAAACCTATGTTTTTGCTTCGTGTCCTGTAATCATAATGCCCGATGGAATTATTTTAATAAATATTATGAACATTCCATACTCTCTTGTAAAAACTGCTAAGCGGTGTTCGATGCAGTTTTTTTTTTTTAATATTGTGGTTACTCCAGGCTCTTAAGGTATTGTGGTTATTCCAGACCCTTTCGAAAGAAACTGCTGAACGGTGTTTGATGGAGTTATTTGAACATATGGTTTCTCCAGAATCTTAGTATATTGCAATAACTCCAGACTTCCTGTACGTAATTGCTAAATAGTGTTCCATGATGTTTTTTTCGGATAATATTGTGTTTATTCCAGTCTGTTGTATAGTTGAATATAATTACTCTATAACGGTTACTCTGGAAGAGTTTAAGACCGTAAAAATTCAATCAACTGTTGTTTGGCTATTATTACAGTTTATAGTTTGGTCTGTTTTGGATGTGGTAGCAAATTTGTTTAATACTTTGTTTATGTTTTATTTTTTTACTCATCATAGTAATACATAAAAAAAAGTTTTTTATATTTTATTAGTCCTTTTGCAACCTTTTTACATGTTGCCAGCTCAAATTAGTTTGTAGTAAGATTAATTGTAGGAAAACCTATTAATTGGTACCTACACATTATCTGAAAAAAAATTATGACTTATAAATAAAAAACAAATTTTCCTCATTATATAGTATTTTTCAGAAATATATGCCTTATATGATTTTTTTTTTAAGCAGAATCATTAATATTATAAACATGTAAACTACTTTGAGGTCGTGAAATAGATAAATAGATAAGCTATCCTTTCATAGGTTAGAGTAAATATATAAGAGATTTGCGAAGGATAAAATTATAATATACAAACATATTAATTAATTTTGTTTTAATTTACTATACATGAATTAATGATATATAATTTTGAAATTTCCAAGAACTTAAAAAAATGTTATTAATAATAAAATTATATTTTAAAGTTAGGAAGATCCCATGTTTCAGTTGAGGAATGCAAAGTTCGAAAGAACTTAGTTTCTTAACTCCCTATTCGCAGATTGAAATTGATTAGTCTATGAATTAATTAATTCATTTTACTACACTTCATTACCATGAATTATTATTTCTTAATGCACTTAGTTTTTGTACAATTATGTAATTTAAAGACGGTTCCCAAAAAGTAATTCCGTGCCAACGTTCCTTCGATCTTATCAAAAAATTGTTCATTTTTATCACGAAGTCTTTGTGAAATCATCTCTTGTACCTATTCTATCCTTGAATAAGCGGCTCTCTTTCCTTAATCTAGGATACAGAAAACTTGGACAAAATTAATTCTTACGCCTTTTTTTTATTTACATTTACTCTTATTTCAACTGTAACGAAAGAGTAATTTTGATGTAACAATAGAAATATATTTGAAAATCCATCAATGAGGATGATAAATGTCTGGTATTAAGAACTACTGTACATTGATGTAACGAGTTTCCTCAAATTGTTTGACATTTTAAATAAAATCGGAAAAACTTGAAAAAATCGATACTACAAATGGCATTTCAAGTAATTCGATACAGAGGAAATGTTGCATCTCAGGCTTATCTACTTTAAACACGCAAGCTCAGTTTCGTCTTTGTTTTTTTTTCATTTGTTGAACTAGGCTGTTGTTCAAATTGATACACTTGTACAATTCGGCAAGGCTTGGTAATATTTACAAAACCCACGTTTCTGTTTTTGGAGTGAAAACTTCTTTAGGCGCCTTTTTCATTATTTTGTGGATAGTAGATTGATCTGTCAGATTTCCGAAGTGTTAACGCTCGGTTAAAGTCATTTAGAGTCAACTAATTCAATTGTTTTACATACGGGTTAAAATTAAACTCAGAAACTAAAAAATGGGTCTGCGTAATGCAAGTGAGGAAATTGTTCAGCATTTCATCCTCACTATAATGGCCTATTTTTCAAAATTGTATCTTAATTCGACGGCGGGTTAGGGAGGTGTAAAGGAAAAAATAATGTCGAAAACCAAATGATAACGGGTTTTATTGAATATATGTATTAAAATAACTAATAAATTAAAAATCGGACCTGCATACTGTAAGTGTAAAAATTGTTCAGCAATTCGTTCTCTCTGCAATGAGCTATTACTCAAAATGGTTTCTTAACACGACGTCGTCTTAGAGAAGTGAAAAGGAAAAAATATGGACGAAAATCAATGATAACTAGCTTTATAGAAGATATATATTAAAATATCTCAGAAACTAAAAATCGAATCATATTATCACAATGCGATAGAATACTGTAAGCAAGGGAAATGTTTAACATTTCATCACCTATATAATGTGTTCTTATTTATGATTTATATTTCGTATAGAATAGAACAGAATAGAATAGAAAATTATACTTTATTCTGGGACTAACTCCCTTTAGAATAACAATGATGAATTAATATAAATCTGGCCAAAATCTAACTTATAAAAATTTTAATATTATATACATTATTTAAAAAGTATGTAACAACTAAAAAAAAAAAATATATATATATATATATATATATATAAATGAACATAAAATCTTGTCAAAATTACTTACTATTGTCATGAAAAAAAAGAAAAGAAAAGATATTAAATATTTATATATACATAACTACACAATTTATAAACAATAGGCTTTCTAATAGAAAACTAACTTAATACAAAATGTAATAATATCTACCGTGATTTATATAATAATATGCAGACACTAAGATAAAATAAAATCTTAGGATTACTTGTGGTGTAATGGAATAAGGAACTAAAAAAAAGGAACTATTTATACGTACATTCTCATATTGGCACACAGAGAGACAAAAAGTATAAAATATAAACATATATACCCGAAAGAAAAAGCACAACCCGACAATAAGAGAAAAACAAATGAATAGTAAAAATAATAGTCAAACTAGGTGACAAAGATCATTGCTGTTTTATGTTAAAACTTAAACAGTAGGCACCACCATTTACTTCATGCAAATTCAGTTCATAAAATGAAATTTATGGTAGTAGATCTTCTGTTTGGGATATGAGGAGATATTGGAAAAGGAGGTATTTGAAAGTTGACAGGGAAGAGGCATGACGGATGTCATGTGACAAAGAATTCCAGTAGGTGACGGAGCGGGCTAAGAAGGAACGTTCATAGGTTTTTGTCCTGTGGAATGGAATATAGAGGTCAGAAACACGGGATCTCGTTTTTATTGAGTGGACTAACGGTTTAGGCTGGAGGAGAAAACAGATATAGAAAGGGTGCTGGGAGTTGATCGTTTGGTATAAGAAATTTCCAAGGAAGTATAGGCGGCGGGAAGAGGGGAAGATCCACTTTGACTCGGCATATAGGTGGGAGACATGGGACTATCTCGAAGTGCCGAAGACGAATCTTAAAAAACAGTTCATGATCCTCCATATATATATAAATCTCGTTTTTTTGATGTTTTCACTTTTGTCATGATGTCTATAGCACACAAGATAGTTTTTTTTTATTTTTTTAACGATCTATACACTTCCCTTAGTATTTCATATATTAGTAACAATTAAGGAGGCATCAGAGAGGTATCTTGATAAATCAATTGATCCACGATTCATAGAACAGAAAAAAACTATTCTGATTTATCAATAAGTAATCAATGCATTTTGTTTCTATAAAGCACCACTTTTCTTTAAAAATAATTCCAATTGAATATATCTTTTAGAGTAATAAGTTAGCTAACCTGTGGATCGAGCAATGGCACCAATGAGAACTGGCGGTATTGCCATAATAACACACCCAATAGCAGCGACGTAGGACAAGATCTGAGCCCTCCCGGCTGACTTGCTTGACAGCACTCTCTGGAAGTAGACCTGTGAAAAAAAAAAATAATAAAGTGTGATTATATATTAATTATTAAATATTAATAAAATATATGATAATAATCTGATAATTCCGCGGCAATAAAAGGATCTGCGTAGTAGGAAAATCATACCTGATGTATGGCTGTGACACCTAGACACTGAACCTTGTAAAAAGTGTTGAAAGATTTGAGAGAGAAATCCTCCTCACCATTACCGGAGCGATCTGGGATCAGAGTACTAACACATGGAAAAGAAAGACCAATAAAGAACTGCTTACAGAAACTGGTAAATCAAGATTTCATGACATGAATGCATGGAGGTTAAGATGTAACGGCATGTACATAGCAATCCATTTGGAAGCCTATACGTAACAATGAATGCCTCAATAGAAAGGAAAAGACCACGTACATGGCCAAAAAGCAGATGGATTGATAGAATCAACAAAGAGACAATAGAGCTGCGTGCAGATAAATGGGAAGAAATAGTCCAAGACATTCATAGATCGAACAGACTTGTTAAGGCGGCAAAAAATCTACATGGTCTCTAACGCCAAAAAAAAAAAATTAAATTTATAATTTAAATAAAATACTTAGCGAACGCTCAGGCTCTATCCTGGTAATAAACCATCATTATCCACAAATCTTACTTCACCGATTGCCATCCAAATCCATTTACGTTCCAATCAACTCCTAGAAAGAGCGCTGACTATCCCTTTATTGAATCGTTCATTATCCTTTTCCCTCCACAGTACTGAGTTTTCGATATTTTCACGTCGGTAAATAACAAAAGGAAGCAAAATATTTCAATTGATTCTAACTTAACGTTTAATAAAAAAAAAGGGTGCCATCTAAGAACTTTGTTGTTAATCTTTATTTTAACGAACTCTTTCACCCACTTCTTCTCAATTTGAAAAGCATATTAGACAGTTAGCTAAAAGGGAAGCTCCAGGTTACGATTCAATGGTTGTCCAGGCGCTCCAGCATATGACCAGAAACCGTCTTGTGAACCTTATACATACCTGTAAGCTAGAGATAACTCAAATGCAAATACTCCAAAATAAAAATGATACACAATAGAGAACTACCAGTCTTCTGATATATTTCAAACTTTTTGAAAAATAAATAGACAAAACACTGGTTGACAAACCGAAAATAAAACCTGATCTTCAATTCGATTTTCGTAACCTCATATTCAACAACGCAACAACTACAGAGTGTTACTGACTACTATACTAAAGCAAAACTGATACGCAATGAGTGTATTTTTGGATTTCAGCAAGGCATTCGATAAAGTCTGGCACCAAAGGAGTTTGGTCTACCGATAGGGCTCAGAAACATTCTCAGTTTGGCCTGTCTTAGCAAGAGTAACGCAAGGAAAATATCGGCTCCTCTACTTGCGGCCATTTCAATGTCCATTTCAAGCCGATTAGAAATAACAACAAATAAATATAGTATATTTCTCAGAACTTACCAAATTGTTTTAACTGAGTGACTCGACGAAATATTCACTGCTTTTCATTTCATTGAACTTACATTTCAGATACTTAAGACTTTGTTTTGGAATCGTACAGTTATAATTCATTAATAAACTCATTCTTATAAGAAGTCATATAAGACTGAGTTTATTAATGAATGAATAGTTTATGAACGAAATACGCTGAGGGCATTATAGCCATTGACAGGTGCTTTGAACAACTGATTGAAAGATCCTAGTATTTCTTCTATTGACCCAATGATCAGTGTTTAGGGAAAAAAAGTGTGGAAGATTGAAGCTAATGGCTTCTTCTTACCTTTCCACCCTTTTTTATTTTATTTTTTTCTGATCCAGGATAGCCAATTTCAGGGACCTTTGTCCCCCAGCATATCGCAATCACTTATTTTTTACTGGGTCAAGTAAACCTGACAATAGTGAGAGAATCGATCGTTAATATTAAATTAATCAGACCATTTGAGATAATTAAGTTATTCTGACTTGAAAAGAAGAGATTCTAATCCAAGTCTTATCTTCTAACATAGAGGAAAAAATAATAACAATTTGAGCATTATTAAATGGATTTCAATATTGCGGGAAAGGACTTTATGAAAATTTAAAAATTCATAAATTGTGTTTTGGGGGCTCATAAATCAACAACTTCGCCGAGAAAAATTCTAATTAAAAATAAAAGGAGACGGAGAGAAAAATATGAATGAAAAAAGACCAAAAGGCAATTCATTAAACGCAACACTAACGAACATAGTAATTTAATCGAGCTAAATCTAAAAAAAAAAATATGTTTTTAAATAAACGATTCACCATTAATTATTCTATTTTTAATAATTAATATTTACTAAAACATAAATTCCTAGAACTCCTTACTCTACGTTCCTCTATCAATAACTTCGTTTATCAAATCTTTAATCATTCGTGCTACCTCCTTACCTATTTCCATACGTCTAACCACGTTCACAAATTCCTTCAAATAACTCATATTCCACTGCATACAACACATTCAAACTTCCGCAAGCTTGTAAGAATTTTTAGGTTATGTAAATACAATTTCTCACCACCACTTAAACGATAAGAGCCATTTTATTTATATTTATTTATTTTTATTTTTGTATATATCTGTATTATATTTACATGCCAGAATGATGTATATATTTTTTTAACTCTCTTACTATTCTTAGGGACTTTATTCCTAGAATAAAATTAATTTTTCATTTTCATACAAGTGTAAGTACTTACAAGTATGTATAAAAATTTTGGAAACGTGTGAATTTCTAATAATGATTATAGTCAAATTTCGACCACTTGGCGACTAGTATGTTATAAATATGTTGTGAAAAGGTGACATATACTGATAATGTATTGTATTTATTAAAGTAGCCAAATTGTTATAAGGTACATGAGTGTACAATACATAAATATTTTGTTTGCACAATGATAAATTAAAATCATTTTCGAACACATTTTATTTTCTATCCAGACTTTAAGAATCGTGGGTGTGCAAGTATTTCCAGTAATGCTTATTAGGTCACTTCAAAGCTAGGCCATTGCACTTAGCTGCTTTGTATTCCAATGCCAACCTCCTTACTTCATCACATAATGTCCCTTAGCATCTTTTCTACTTACAAAGAGGCTATCGTTTCTTAATTTACGGCTTGCAATTAAGATCCGGGGAGCCTTCGCAATGAGAAATAGAAGCAATTTTATTAGTGTGCGAATGTATTCAAGGGTTCTTCGATTGCAGCACTCAGAGTTGCTTAGAAGTGTGGAATGAAATAGTTTGACCTTTCTGAATTGAAGTTTATCAAGATCTGATAGAAGTAGAAATATTTGAAGAGCGGAGATCTCCCAGGATTCCTTCATCCTCCCCTAATATTCCACGGTATATTACCTCCATGGTCATCTGGACAAATCACTCTTGCAGTTACATTCTTTAAGTCACACACTTGCTAGTAGACCTTGATTCTTCATCTTGTTGTCATAATCATGTAGGAGACCTGGAATGAACTCTTGTAGCCAATCCATAGTTATAGTATAATTCTGTATGTTGGATGCCATTTATAGCGCTACTTATAAAATCCCTACTGCCTCCGATACGTTAACTTAAGATGACCATGAATTTAATATTTTTAATTGCTTTATTCTTATTAATGGGATGAAGATGGAAATTAAATTTTTAAATTGAGCTCCACAGAATTTCCTGCTGAATAATTTATTAGCACTTGGACTTAAATATAAATGAAGGAACCTCCTTCCTGACTGCATACTTTATTAACATGCTTTTAAGAGTTTAAACCTTTTAAGATGATTGTGAATCAACGATCTTTTTGGAACTGTATCAAGATGTTTAAAATATAATAAATGATGTTTTCTATTTTAAGCATACTGGTTACATGTAAATGGGCGAAGTTAATAAATCAGATTTGTGAAAAAAATTGACGACTCTAAAAGTTAGGTAGCCTATTACTTTTTTCGTTTCATTATTTAACAGAAGATATGTTTTCCAAATTTCATCAGATCCTTCCTTATCACCCATGTCTCGTAGCACAGTCCCTATTTAGCACCATCCATCCCTACAATCCTCCTCGTAGGTTAGAACGGCAGTGGCCCCGTGACCTTTTGTAGCATGTGCATATTGGAATTCAGGGATTGACCATGATGGTCAAGTCATGAGTGTATGTGGCTGTAACATTCTTTCTTAGCCTCCACTGGCTTTTAATACTAGTAAAGTGGTGGAGGGAGAATCACAGGGATCTTCTGAAGCCTCGCTTTTCCCTCCACAAGTTTGGTATGGAATTCTCCAGGCTGATTGTAAATTTTGTATATAGATATGCATGCATTTATTTTATTTTTAAAAGAACATTTTATTTTATTTTATTTATTCTCTCATCATGATATATATATTTTTTTATTTTGTGATATTATTTTGTTATCACCTTATTTATTAATGACTCTGTAAATACGGTATGAATGTGTTCTCTGAATTCTATTATAAGTGTCCTTAATTGAGACGGATTGTAATATCTCTCAATGAACAAATGAAAAAAAGAAAAGTATTTAACAAAAAATATTTATTACAAGAATAAAGGTTAATATGAATAAAGAAAGATGGCTACGAAATTATATGTAACTGAACAGATTCGCTAAATGAGTTTCATCAAAGTTAGTTTCTCAATATGGAGTTTCGGTGTCCATTAATCATGATTTTAAGTGGTATTAACAAACAATCAAAAATTAATTAATTATGAAATGCCAGTTAGAAAGATGAACACATTTTTAAGATACAAAGCGTACTGAATCAGTTCATTGATAGAATATTCGTATCCATAAAGTAGAATAGATTTGCCCGTGTGGTATAAATATTATTTCACATTTCCTATTAAGAAAATTAATTAATACCAGTTCAGAGTTTGTGTTGGTTTTATTTATCTCGACCCAGTGACTTAATAGATTTTAATAAAGAAATTACGAGGGCAATTCATGGTTTATAGTTATTGCTATTTTTGGTAACATTAATTAAAAATAAAATTAATTTATTACACACATTGTGAAAGATTAATAATAATAGTAATTAAAAAACGAATAACATATCACTTGATTAAATATAAATAATATTGATTTAATAAATGTAGCGATTTCAATTAATTTACTCTTTTTTTTTTGGCTTTACAACCCTTGTAGATCTGTTGCTCTGATTTACTCATCCTTATCCATCTCTGCCTATTTTTGGCTATTGCTTCCCAATTATCTGCATGCAATTCTATTGCATCTTTATCGAATCGATCTATCCATCTAGTTCTTAGCCTTCATATGATCTCTTGCCTACTATTGAGGCAAGCATTATTTTGTAGAGGTTTCTTAACCGTTTCCTCCCGAGTTATCCATCTTAAACTTCTTTCTCCGTAATATAAGATATTGATTTTCCAGTTTCTGTAAACATTTCTCTATTGTTCTTTCACCATAAGTTCGCACTATCCCCACCCTAAGACAGTTCAATTATCTCCTTCCATATAAGTCCTGTCAATTCCTAGTTTCCTCTCTTGTTTCCCCCCCTCCCCACTTCGACTATGGCTGTATGCTGTACGGTGGACTCTCCGGAAATTTCGAGACCAAACTAAAACGCTTAATAAATTTCGCATTACGATTTGTTTTCGGAATCTTAAGAGGTACGCATATTACCCAGTATTACACCGAGTTGAAGTGGCTCTATCCATCCTATCGCCGTCAGTACATTCTAGTTATCTGTACCAGATCATTAGAACTCATTGACCCTCCTATATTTTTCACAGCTTACTATTCAAATATTCCATCCAATCACGTCATACTAGATCTCGTACTTCCGACCTCTATCCTCCTCCTCACCGAGCTGCTGCGTTTACGTTGCAAATCCTTTGCAATTCAAGCCGGCTCCCTCTGGAATTAAATCGCTGCTGATATTCGACACATGCAATCAATTTCCTCTGTCAAACGTCTCCTCTTTAAACACCTATTCCTTTCTCAATCCGATTGATTACGAAATATACTTAAGTGAACTATCCAAGTATACCCCCAGAGACTACCTCAATTTATTTAGGTTATTTATGTTTCTTATATATATGTAAAATTTGTAATATTTTTCTCTCTCTTCTTCTTTATTCTCATTTTTAATTAACTCTTATTTTAAATATATAATTTATTTATGACCACACAGACATGTAATCTGTACTTATAATTTGTTCTAAAGGGACAACAGTCCCAGAATGATAAAATGTATTTTCATTTCATAAGTTACCTATCCTTCCATAATAAACTTCAGAATCGTCCCAACCCTCTCGTTTCTAACCTTGCTTCCTCTTCAATTCCTGATAACCCTCCGAGGCGTCTGAAAAGAAGATGGCCCCGTGATCTCCTAATGTAGTCATATCATTAGAGTGCTACCATTGGGTAGTTACTCAGCAAGTGTATTCATGTCATTATATCAATTATGTCCAAATTAACTTGATGTATTTATGTAATACAGTTGTAAATGTCATAAAGAAATAAAAAAAAATTTCATAAGTTAGTATTGCTATCCCAGATCGCTTCGGTTATTTTATGGAGAATATTCCTCTGAAATTTTAAATACTTTGTTCTATAGTGGTTTGTAAGTTTCGCAACTCTATCATATTATTCAGTTGTTTTAAAATAACCCATACTTTATCATTATGAATTTTTTTTTTTTTTTAATCTATTTATTGAATAATAATACAATCAGCCACTGGAGGGCTATAAGTATTAGGGCTAAGAGTTCTCATTCAAACAATATATACAAATAATAGAGAAATAAATATAAATAAAAAAGTAAATAAATAATACTGATGAAGAAAGAAAATAAAGAAAAAAAATAAACAATAACATAAAAAGAAACTTATAAACACAATCATACCTATATACAATAATACATTCGCCCAAGAATCTCCGAGCCAGGCTTTTTCCCCCACATGTGGAAGGCAAAGCAAGACTCCAGGAGATTCCAGTGTCACTTTTCCAGCCGCATCACTAGTATTAGAAGCCAATGGAGACTGAAAGAGGGCACTAGAGCCACAGACGCTCGGGACATGAGTGGAGAAGCTGGCCATTGCCAGGACTCCAGAAGCCTATTTACAAGAGATCTGGGCCACTGCCGTTTTAACCTTCGTGGAGGATTGTAGGGATGAAGGGAGCTGGATAGGGATTGAGCTAGAGGATTTGGATGATGGATAAGGTTTTGGTGAAAGTTTGAGAATCTGGTTGGGATGATGTCGAGGACAAATGGGAATCATTATGAATAAAGTATTAATGTGCAGTCGTCTTAAAAGATATGTTAACCATTTTTTAACTTTTATTCTATGAAAGGTAATTCGCCCGTTTTTTAAAAGCACTTAGTGTTCAAATTCGTAAATAATGGTTTCAACCTTCTTATATATTTGTTGGTAAACTGGATCCATGTTGGTCTTTCTTATAAAATATTTTTAAGTTATATCTTGTTAAACAACAGTTGATGCTATGAATGTACAATATTTTCGAACTGCTCATCTTTCAAAACTTGTGGATATTGATTAAAGCAACTATTCTTCAACAAGAAATATTTTCTTTTTTATATATATTTTAGGTTCGGTGCTTTTTTAAAGGTTTTTTTATAAAATATTAGGCCAAAGGTCACCTGTCCAGTTAGGAGTATGAATGCGTTAGTGAGGAGGAAAATTTTTAATATCGTCTACGAAAGAGAAGTGAAAAGACGACATTCCATGAAATAAAAGAATGACTAAAAGACGAATTATATTATAATGATACATTTTAGAAATTTTATGAAGCGGTGCATGTCTGCAGGATCTTTAAAATGGCTCCTGAAGCCGGAACTCTAATAAATAATACAGATGTAAAAACTGTGTAATTTGGTGACCTTTGGCCTAATATTTTATAATTTATAAAAAACTTTTATAATTTTCCATTTTCATTGAAGTATTAGAAATGGTCGCTCCTTTATCTAGGAACAATCCAAACTCGAAAGAAAAAATTATTAAAGATATATATTTTTTTTCATGTACATTTATGTGGAGCCAAATAATTGCATCATCGCATTTATTAAATTATATATGGTGAGTCGATAGGAACCAGAAAAATTCCAGATGTTTGTTGCACACAGAAAAATAATAATAAAAAATACACTGTTATGTTCTTGTTAGATTTTCACTTTTTTAAATTTTACAAATAAACAAAATATCACAAATAAAGAATACTTCATACATGGAATAGCATCGAAGCTATCGGATTCATATTTTAATAGATATGCGAAAATATCACCAGACTTCTAAACAATTCCGACTTCGTCTTCAACAGCCGAATCTTCGACACAGTTGCCCTCCTCATTATATCTTCCCTTAATGACGCCTGCAGAATTCTTAATACGTTGGATGAGTTCATCCCGAGTGTCTAATTCATCTTTAAATCAGTCCCATAAAAAATAATCCAGTACTGCGAAGTCTGAAGATTTTGTAGGCCAACTAATTAGTCCACTTCGAGCAATCCAACGATCTACAAACCTTTCATCAAAACGTTGCCTCACCTGACAAGCGAATTGAGCAGGTGCCCCGTCATGCTGAAAGTATATTTGCATTCATGTGTTTAGAGGAATGTTATTGCATGCATATTGTTTATTTTGTTAAATTTTATTTATTTTAAATTAGCCAATAAAATACAAACAATTGAAAATCGGATAAGAATATTTTTTTTATTATTATTAATTGCTGCGTGGAACCCATTCCTGGAGCTTGGCCGGTTCCTCCTATTTATATATCAATTAATTATTATTTAAATATTTATTTTGTTGTTACCTGCCACGGAATCCCTCCAAGGATCAAAAGGAGTCCCTGATCCAGGTAGAAGCCGTACTCCTTGGAATCTACACTGCCGATCCAGTCCACTTCTTGACTGGACAAAGGCTGGACGTGTTCATTAGCCCATGCGAACGGGACGCACATCCACTGCAACATTAAATGACCAGCTACAATTAACAAATTAAACTGAATGGAATTATAATACATGAAATCATTACATTACTGATTATCTCCTGGGAATAACAGATAACATAATTTCTGTTGATATAATTACTTGAAATAATTAGTAATAAAACAGAGCTTCGATTTTTTAACTAATACGTGATAAAATCAATTTTTTTTTTTTTTGGGTCCTTCCCTTCCTCGCCGTTAAGGCTATACGGGATTTTCCCGGGCCGAGTGCGGGCGAGTGTGGGTGGGGATTTAAAAGACTCCCCCGGCACCGGGACGCGAACTCGTGACTATTTTTATATCTTTGATTCATATGTCAGGTTGCCGGGCAACGGCGGTGCAGTGCACACGCTTTAGCCCATTCGGCCACCCCGCCCACTAAAAATAAAATCAAATAATTATTATGTTCAAGTCAAAAACGAAATCTAAGACAAATTTTATTTATAACAATTAATTAATTGGAGTAAAACCTCATATTTCTTCTCTCGAAACAGACCGTCCATGGAATAAACCTCAGTTGGGCTACTGACATCCTGGTGTACCGCATCCCGAATTTTCTTGTTATAAAATTGTAGTTATTTTGGTTCAATTGTAAATAAGAACAACTGGTTTGCATGATAATTAATAATTTAATTGTCATTACTTTTTAATTTCTTATTTCGCGTGGTGCACGATATTTAGTTTTTTTTTTTATTTCACTTATTATATAACTGAGTTTTTAGTTTAATAATAATAATAATTACTGAGTTTTTTAAGTGAAAACTTCTTTATGCGCGTTTTGCATATTTTGTTTTGTGAATAGTTAATCATATTGAGCCATCAAATTTCCGATGTGTGACGCTCGGATAAAGTCGGCTGAAGTCGACTAATTGAAGTGTTTTCCCATATGGATTAAAATATCTCAAAAACTACAAATCGGACCCGCACATTGTTAGTAAGGGAAATGTTAATCACTTCATCCTCTTTGTTATGAGGTATTGTTCAAAATTGTATCTTAACGCGACAATTCGTTTTAGAGAGGTGAAAAAGAAAAAAAAAATTTCAAAAACTAAATTATGAGTTTTATTGAAGATATGGATTAAAATAACTTAGACACGAAAAATCTGACCTGTATTCTGTAGGCGAGAGAATTGTTCATTACATTTCGTCCTCTTTATATTGAGTTATTATTTATAATTTATATTTCATATTATTAATCTCGCCTTGTTGATGTTTTCACTTCTTATCATTTGGTCTAAACTTCTTTAGACGTGTTTTGCACTTTTTTTTGTGGTCAGTGAATTATACTGATCCGTCAGATTTCGGCTAGAGTCGACTAATTAAAATATTTTTACATATGGATTAAAATATATCAGAAACTATAAACGGGCTTGCATACTTTAGGAGAGGAAATTGTTCAGCGTTTCATCCTCTCTGTAATAGACTATAATTCAAAATTTTATCTTAACGCGATGCCGTGTTAGGGAAGCGAAAAGGAAAAAATACTGCCGAAAATCAAATTACAACGAGTTTTATTGAAGATATGGATTAAAATATCTCAGATACTAAAAATCGGACCTGCATTCTGTAAGCGAGGAAAATATTCAGCATTTCATTCTCTTTACATTGAGCTATTATTTATAATTTATATTTCATATTATTAATCTCCCCTTGTTGATGTTTTCACTTATATCGTGTGGTCTAAACACACACTTTAGTTTTCGTTTTTTTAGCTGAGTACACGATATTCAGTGGAATTTTCTTATTTCACTTTTTCATGTTTTGGGATTTTTGTTTAATTACAGATAAATTATCTTTCTTTCATCATACCACAGACAGAATCTTAATTCGTATTCAGAAGGATATATTCATAAGTGCCATTGTATTAATTTTATAGGAAACACAAAACATGTACATTTGTTTTATACTTTTAGGTTTAATTTAATATTATTTTGGTGCTTGTTAGAACATTACTCACCCAATGAGAGACACGTAAAATTTGATACAAAGTATTATACAACACAAATTTGTTTGTTTGGGCTTTATGGCGTGAAACCCTATTGTCATCAACGCCCGTTGTTCATTTATTATTTTTACATTTTTGAGTGGAAAGGATGAAACGCTAATGACGTAATTGCCTGGGGGCATCAAATGTCTAAAAAAATCCACAAGAGAAGAGCTCAGTAGATGTAAGTGAATAAGTCTTTTCATAGTCATAAATATTATAAAGAACAAAATATTTATTTTTCTTTGTTTTGTGTTTTACTGTATAATGTAGTGTTTCATTAAGTTGGCAAATATTTTATAGTTATAATTTGGGGTTATTTATAAATTTATGCCCTATGGTTCAGTGTATCTTCTTCTACAAAACAAAGTCGATATAATTCCTATAATTTAATAATTCAAAATAAACTGTTGTTGGATAAGTCAGTATGGTTATCGAACCTAGGAAGTATCCTAAGGATGAAAAAATCAAGTTAGGAGAATCAATTCATTTTACATTTATTATTCTTTCTTTTCCTCTCCTTATAAACCTTTAGACACACCTTTCGAAAAAAAGAAAAATATCAACTTTGAGCGAATAAGTTGAGATCCATAACTTGAAGATAAAGAGATTTCAAGCTTGAGGCGGAAGAGAATACCGCAGCGCCTCTTACGGTGGTGGAATAATTTTAAAGTTGTGTCTTAAGGCGATCATCTTTAGTCTATTTCTTTTTCTTCCTAGTGTTCATCGGTATTTCTATCCCCTCATGCAATATAATTCTAGAAGCGTCGATGTGCAAATGAATAATAAATTGAATATTTAATAGTTGACCGTTGCATTTTAAAGGAAGGAGATGGTCCGGGGTGGCGGTCATAAATAGGCTAAATAGTGGAAAAACTATTTTATTAAAATCCAACGTTTCGACCCGACTTTGCAGGTCTTCTGCAGGGCTAGAAAGGACAAGATACAAAAAGATAGAGAATTGTGGAAGTTACATAATATTTAGACAAGAAATTATAAACAATGTGAATAAGCTTATTAAAATTATAAATAGTGAGTACATTAAAATATAAACAGAGTAAGCTAAGTGAAAAGGTCCTAAACTGAAGTAAATAAATTAAGTAAATTATTTACTTCAGTTTAGGATCTTGTTACCAAGCTTACTCTGTTTATATTTTAATGTATGTGTGAATATGTTTAATGTTTAATGTGATAATGTGAATGTGTTCATATATATTACTATAAATATTGTCCACGTGACAGATTATTATATTTCTAAATAAACAAATAAAAAAAAAAAATAAATAATAGATTTATTATTTTTAATATACTTTAAAAAAATGTATAACTTCAATAACCATAGATTAATATAAATACAATAAAGATGTAAATATGTTTATAATCACTAAAGAATATCAAAACTTAAAATAAAACATTGCATCTGTTTTTTTTTTCTAATTATCTAATATTCACTTAATTTTTACTAAACTATTTAAACAGAAATTATAGTATTATGAATACAAGATGTGATTTTTTTTTTAATTTTAAATATATATAAATAATATTTGACCTCAAAAAACTACCAAGATTCGTTGGTATAATTTAATAAGGCACGTAACCATAACTCCATTTTTAAAAGAGAAGAAAAACTATTCTTCTGTACTCTATAGTTTTTACCCTTAATTAGCTATTTTTCACAACCGATTTCATGGTCAACTCCCATCTAACAGGATAAATGATTACTTACGGGTCGGACTAGACTCAAGGACCTGAAGCATAGGAGAACTGAACCTTACTCATTTAGCTATCGTGCTCCTATATATGATTTGCATAGTTGTTATACATTTTTCTGCTTCTTGTTTATTAGATTTATTTAAAAAAAACAATAAATAAAAATATAAATAAATAACGCCCTTATTAAACAACTTTTACATTGCGTATTTGGATAATTTGTTTTTAAAGAATGAAATAATAATTCTTGTAAATTTTTGTATAGTTTTTTCTCGTTAATTTATCGATATTATTAATTTTTTTTTGTAGAATTTCGTAATAGGAAATTATTTTTGATACAAAAATAAATCGATAAGAAGTAAATAAAATAATAATTTTTCTCAGGTAACAGATAAGAAGAAATATATAGTATAGTGGTAGTAGTAGTAGATTGGAGTGATGCCGGATAGAGAAGTTGAAAGTTAATAACGCGTGTGTTTGTATATGTGTATATAGAAATACACACAAAGTTTGGTATGTGTCTTGGTGCTTGTAGATAAATTTTTGAAGGTGCGTTTAGGTTTAGCGAAAACCACAATTTTTTTTCATAGGTCCATATTGATTTCATTAATGTGTTGAAAATTTATATTTAGATGCTTTAAAATAATGGTTCGAAGGATAGTAAGTTTGTTTATTTACGATTTTTCTTTAGAACAATTTTGTGTCTTCATTTCTCTCAGTATGATGTTAGTTTTGTTTTTTCTATTTACTTACTTCTGATAATTTATGTTCATTAATATTTATTTAGATAATTGTTTTTCCTTTCTTCCTTAAGAGTTTTTTGTATTATTTCACTACAAGCTATATCTCTTTGTTTTTATTATAATTTTTATTTTTATTATATATATATATATATATACATTATCATCTTTTATACATCTATTTTTATGTAATTCGTTTTTATTTGTATTAAAATGTAAATATGCTATGGATGTGCCTTACAGCTGTAATACTCAGTACCCTTAAGTGTGGTAAAATGTATTATACCTCAATAAAAAGATTTAGTTTCTCAAAAATATTTCTCTCACCAAATCTATACTATAACCTACTTTTTTATTTTCTGAATATCCATTCAAATCATTTGAAGTAAATTCTTCGTGAACCTTGACTTGTGATTGTTCCATTTTCGTGTTACACGCGAATAAAGAGTTCTAACTCGACCAATAACATTAGGAACAACACCTTTTGATTCTCACTTAATACACCGTTATTCAAAAATAATTACTGTGAAGTTAGTAAGTAC